TCCATATTCATCAGGAGCATAATTGTAGTCTCTTTTTACTGGGTCTCTGGTTTAGGGAATCAAAGTAATACTGGCTCATAGAATGAGTTCGGTAAAGTTTTCTCTTCCCTTTCATTTTGGAATAGCTTGAGAAGGAGTAGGTATGATCTCTGCTTTTAAACGCCTGGTAGAACTCCCCTGGGAAGCCATCTGTCCTGGACTGTTGGGAGATTTTGATAACCATTCAATTTCTTCTGCTGGTTATGGGCCTGTTCAAGCTTTCTATTTCCTCCTGATTGAATTTTTGGAAGAGTGGGTGTTCAGGGAATTTGTCCATTTCTTCCAGGTTGTCCAATTTGTTGGCATATAATTTTTCATAGTATTCCTGATAATTGTTTGCATTCTGAGGGATTGGTTGTAATAATCTGCCATTCGATTTTATCTAGTTTGGGTCATCTCCCTTTTGAGAAGCCTGGCTAGAGAGTTTTGTCAATTGTTTATTTTTTCAAAAAAAACCAACTCTTGGTTTCGCTAGATCTGCTCTACAGTTTTTTTTAGATTCTATATTGTTTATTTCCTTGCTCTGATTCATTATTTCTTCTTCTGCTGGGTTTAGGCTGCCTTTAAGGTTCTGCTTCCATTTCCTTTAGTGTGCTGTTAGATTTTGCATTTGGGATTTTCTTGTTTCTCTTGAGATAGCCTGATTGTAATGTATTTTCCTCTCAGGACTGCTCAAGTCCTGCAAAGCTGCTTGGATTGTTGCATTTTCATTTTCGCTATTTCATATTTTAATTTCTTCTCTCACTTGGGCTCTGGTTGACCCACTCATCTGCTAGTAGGCAGTTCTTTAACTCCATGCTTTTGGAGGTTTTCCTGTGACTTTTTCTGTGGTTGATTTCAAGCTTCATAGCATTTTTCTGTGGTCTGAAAGTATGGCGATTTCACCCCTTGTAAACTTATGAAGGGCTGTTTTGGTAGTATGATCTATCTTGAGAATGTTCCATGTGCACTCGGTGAAGCAGAATTTGGCTGTTTTCTTTGGGATGAGTTCTAGAAGAGATCTGTCAAGTCCATCTGATCCAATGTCTCATCTAGGCCCTTGTTTTATTGACCGTGTGTCTAGATGATTCATCTCGTAAGTGGGGTGTTGAAGTCCCCTGCACTACTAATTTTATCAACAAGGTTGCTTATGTTTATGAGTAATTGTTTTATATTGGGCCTGGGTCTAAGCATAGACATTTATAATTGTTAGGCTCTTCCTGATGGATAGACCCTGTCACTATTATATAATGTCCTTCTTCATCTCTTGTTACAGCCTTTAATTTAAAGTTCATAGTTTGTCTGATATAAGCGATGGCTACTCCAGCTTTCTTTTGGCTTCAGTAGCATGATAAATAGTTCTCCATCCCCACTCTCAATCTGGTGTCTCAGGTCTAAAAATGAGTCTCTTGCAGACAGCAAATAGATGGGTTTTGTTTTTTTATCCATTCTGATGCTCCTATGTCTTTTGGTTGGCGATTAATCCATTTACATTCAGTGTTATTATAGAAAGATATGGGGTTTAGAGTCATTGTGATGTCTGTATGTTTTATGCTTGTAGTGATGTCTCTGGTACTTTGTCTCACAGGTCCTCTGTGATCTCTCTTGTAGGCTATTTAGTGGGTGACAAATTCCTTCAGTTTTTGGTTTGTTTGTAAAGACCTTTAT